CTTTCGTGTCCGCATGTAAAACGGGATGAAAACAAATTGCCCTGTTTAATCTAATTATGTTTTTGCAGGCGGGTCTAAAAGTTGAAACACCAACAGAATCTAAAAGCTCATTACTGAAGGCCACGGCTAAAGAAGTTTCCAACACGTTTTCTTTGATGTTAGCCAAAAGTGACGAAAGAAATAGTAGGTGATATACAGCATACATCTAAAATATAAAAAGCTGACCATTTTCACCAACACAATACATAAAAACACACCTGTGTAACACGGCCCAACAGACGTAGGCGTACTTTTTGAGACGCAGGTGATGACCTCTGGACGGTCTCGAGCGAAAAATTAAGTGATTAAACTGACATGTGTGGCAATGTAGTGTCGCTGTCTCAAAATAAGCAGTTCGTTGGCTTCTGTAATTGCACCCAAATAGTGGTGTCAAATAGCATGCTTTAGATAATGAAAAGTTTTAATCACTGGATCAATATTCTTTTTTAAATTTTACTTTTGTTTAGTCGATGGCCTACGTAGGAGAGCCACGCAATGTTTCGTGCGCATTGGCAAATTGATAAATGAGCTACACTTTTTTTTTAAACAGGCAGAACGAATGTGTACCAGCTAAAAGTAGGATCTGAACGATATTTTTCGTTCTTCCCTGGGTTTTTCCACTAAGCCTTGAGTCCGGGGAGAGGGCCAAGTTCCGCGCCTTCGAAATGATTGACCTGAGTAATTAGTGGCAACCGTTACTAACAACATTGTATGTCGGAATTTCCCAACCCGCTTCTGTGGTGTAAAGGTTAAGCGCTCCCCTGTCGCACACAGGAGACCTGAGTTCGATTCTTCTACAGGGAGACAAATGTTTTCGAGTATTTCGTCGGTCATCCTGCAGGGTTGTTGTATACCTCTCAATCCAGGTTGGACCTGTTACGTAGGGTCGGAAGTTTACCTAAATTGTGTCGATGGGGGCGTAAAAACATCCAACTTAGAACAAAAATATTAAAAATTCCAACTGCTATGTTAATAACACAAACAGACATCTTCTTTTCAAAATAATTTATTTTGAGATACAAAAATCAGTCAAACAGCAAAGTAAGAATACAAATCATAAATGTTTGAGAAAATTCAACGGTCAAAATGACAAATTCAAGGATTATGCTTTAATTCAAGCTAAATGGAAATAGCGCACAACTGACAGCATGGGTTAAAGAATATGGTGAACAAAAAGTCTGCTTATCACGGCAAAGACGAAATTATTCAGGCTTGCTAGTTTCTAAATGATTCTATGCTTATATACAATATAAAAAGGTGCCGCTATAAATATAATATTCGTTCACTATTGTGTGAAACATTATACGAAACTTCAAAAGACTATTCACTTTGTCGAGATTGATTACAAAATAAGAAGTACGTAAAGTAGTTGAACTTTCCAGGAAAAGGATGTGACAAGAGTAAGGAACCCTAGTCGGCTGTTAATAAGACTAAATTTGAAAAATAGGTCCACTCTACCTATTACACAGTATTTGCACGTTGACACTCAATATATTGATCTAGCTTTTGTGTCCTTAAAAAAACACAATTCATACATATTATGGACCCTGATTTCAGTACTACTCTGATTCATATAGCTTATGAGGTCAAACGTTGTCTTCTTATCCATCTATTTCGTGAACGGTTGACGCTATAGGCCTACTTTTCGTTCATAACAAATCACTCTCAAAACATTTATCTCGCCACTACGCACTACAGGTATTCTTTGCTTCCTCTTCTTGTGTTTACAGATATGCACCCGTATTCTTCAATCGCTCTCGGATCATTCCCGTGATCAGTCAGAAACACAGATATAATCTACACCAATCTGTGACGTCTTCTTTGATGGGAAACTTTTTAAAACGGATGTAAGAGTATGAAAAAAAATGTTCTCTCAGTTCACCAAATTCTCGTCGGGAGTTATTTTTGACTTTTGCAGATCCTGTTCTCTTGAGATAAACAATTTTAGAAGATAACATAAAACACTGGCAAAGGACCCAAAAAGAAATGCATATTAGGATTAAGACAATACACTGAAGCAATTAAGCGTTCTGAGGATTAAGAAACGCGCATCCTCGTTTGGATTTAGACAGCTAAAGCATGACTGAGCACGTGGTCGTTAATTTACAATATAATGAAATGTACTCTGGGCACAGAGAAAAGTTGAATGGTGAGCCGCCAAGCTTCTATCAGCAAAAATGACATTATACAACAAGTCAACGCAATAAGCCACTGCTATGATGCAACTAGGTCTTGCGATACTTGGAATTGAACATTTTACAGAAAATGGGAAATCCAATAGCTGTTGCATTATCATCATTAATTCTGCAAATCAAAACTTTAACCGTTTCCTCCGGCTTCTCAAGTCTCTTTACCGAGCTCATACGGTCTCTTATTCCTTTTCTTTCTTACCTTTTTTCCTTCCTTCTATCTCTCACTTCTCTCTCTCTCTCTCTCTCTCTCTCTCTCTCTCTCTCTCTCTCTCTCTCGCTCTCTCTCTGTCTCTCACTCTCTCTTGGTCTCTCTCTCTTCTCTGTATCTGTCCTCTCTCTTTTTCGCTCTCTCTCTCTGTGTCTCTGTCTGTCTGTCT